CGCGCTCGGGGACTGGCCCTCCCGGGAGTCCGGCACGAAGGGCGGTGCCGCTGAGGTGTCAGTCTTGCAGATCTGGTCACGGGTTTGCTGGGACTGGAGATTCCAGCCAGTCAGCCCAGCGATCAAATAGGAACGCAGCATCCCGCTCTGTGAGGCCACGCGGAGCAGGAGAGGCGAGAGGGTAGCCACACACGGGGCAAGGGGAACGAGGTTGCGAGAGCATCGAGATTTCAAAGTCCGTGGTGACGTTTGGGATGGCTGTCTCCATACAACTGAAGTGTGGAAGCCAACTGCATGATGGGAGAATCTTAGGAGGCGGCTGGTGGGAGGTGGAAGATGGGCTGGAGGGTTCCAGGCAAAAGGAGGAGAGTTGGCATGGGAGGCACCACCTTCCAGAGGTTTCTGCCCGAGCGTGTAAGAAAGCTGAGGTCACTGGCAAAGATGGGCATGAGATGGCAAAGCAAGGTGCTGGAGGAATTCCGTGCACCAGTAGCCATCCCCAGAGGGGCATGCGGTGCAGGGCAGCAGGGCCTGCGGAGAGGGAGCCACTTCAAGCTGACGGCTCAGGCGAGGCGGCAGGGAAGGTGTGTCTTGGCGTGTGGAGAGGCGTGTGACGTGCAGGACCTGGCCCCGCACGGGTGACCACCTGGCCCCGCACAGGTGACCACTGGCCCCGCACAGGTGACACGGCTCTGAATGCCAGGATCAGGCCCTCGGGCCTCATCCTGGGTCAGCATTTTCAGAGGCTGCTCCGGGCGATCCCTCTCAGGTGGGAAAGGGTCGGGGGTCAAGTCCGCGTGGGAAACGCTGGGAGGGCTTTCCCTGCAGAATTCCTCGGCCTTCCCATGCCGGCCTGGAGGTTCCCAGAGGCTCCAGGGGCGCAGGACAGACCTCTCAGGGTCAAGGCCAGGGCAAGGCACAGGGTTGTCTTTGCCGCCGTCCCAGGAAAGACCTCGATAGGTGTCCCTGGCCCCATCCGGTCCTTGCCTGTCGCTGGACCAGCCGTTGCTGCCGGGGTGCAGTCCTCTGATTGGCCGGATGGAGCCCCCCCGGACCTCCAGGGCCGACACCGGGTCAGGGCTGCACCCCCAGAGGAAAAGGAAGAATTATTTCCAGAAGAGGAGGCAGGGGATAGAACACACCCCAAAGTCCCTTCCTTTTCTTTCCCCAAGAAAAGGCCCACCTTCCCCGTGAAATTGGGAGCGAGGGGGAAGCAGGAACCGCCTCGTTCTTATTAAACTTCGCTCTGTCCCGCCTCTGGCGCGACAGTTTCAGAAAACGCCTTCCATCTGCCCGTCACAGGGCTGTCTGACTAGGTCCCGTAAGGGCATCGGAAATGATTCATTTTGAGCGTCGTCATTTCGGTCTGTGCTCACGCCGGGTTTTGTGGCATTCCAATGCCACTTGGTCACCGTGGCCCCGAAGTCATTTGACGACCACGTCGCTGGGGATGTGCCTGAAAAGCAAAGTCACGAAATGACTTCGACCCGCAGGGCGGTTCCCGTGGGTTTGGTGGGCACTCGGTGCAAAAGGGGGGGCGGGGGGCAGGGAGGAGGGGCACAGTCGTGCTCAAGTGCCTGCCCCTCTCGTGCCCCCAGGTCTGCAACAAGATCATCTTCCTGATGAGCTTCGTGGGCAACTGCGGCACGTTCACGCGGGGCTACCGCGCCATGGTGCTGGACGTGGAGTTCCTCTACCACCTGCTGTACCTGCTCATCTGCGCCCTCGGGCTCTTCGTGCACGAGTTCTTCTACAGCCTGCTGGTGAGCCCGCGGGCGCCCCGTGCGAACCGGAGGGAGGGTCCGGGCCCCTCACCCCGGGCCCTCCGGTTGGTTTTAGCCCTCACCCGAGGGTATTTTTCCCATGGTTTTTAAAGGAAGAGAGAGAGAGGGACAGAAATTGACATGAGAGAGACGCATCCATAGGTTTGCCTCCCGCACATGCCCTGACGGGGGCCAGGGATTGAACCTGCAACCCAGGTATGTGCCCTTGACCGGGAATCGAACCCTCGACCCTTCGGTCTGGGGCGGGTGGGGGCGGATGCTCTAACCACTGAGAATACTGTCCAGGACACAGATCCGTCCTTTCGATTGTGATTGCTGTGCCTGCTCTAACGAGGTAGTGCCTCTGGGACAGAAATTGACATGAGAAAGACGCATCAATAGGTTGCCTCCCGCACATGCCCTGACTGGGGCCAGAGTTTGAACCTGCAACCCAGGTACGTGCCCTTGACCGGGAATCGAACCCTCGACCCTTCGGTCTGGAGGGAGGTGGGGGGCGGATGCTCTAACCACTGAGCATACTGGCCAGGACACAGATCCGTCCTTTCGATTGTGATTGCTGTGCCTGCTCTAACGAGGTAGTGCCTCTGTGCGCAGTGTTGGCGGGATCTGGGAAGGAGCCCAACCCCACCACGGGGGGCAGGTCAGCCCACAGGAGCCCAGGGGGAGGGGGGCGGGCAGAAAGGGCAGGTCACACTGACGTAGCAGATCCACCTTTTACTTTTCATAACAGACAGTGCCCCCAACCCGGATCAGGAGGTGTTGCCTCTGTGTTTCTTTCTTTTTTTAAAATATGTTGTTATTGATTTTTAGAGAGGAAGGAAGAGGGAGAGAGAGAGAGAGAAACATCAATGATGAGAGAGAATCACTGATCGGCTGCCTCCTGCACGCCTCCTACTGGGGATCGAGCCCGCAAACCGGGCATGTGCCCTGACCGGGAATCGAACCGTGACCTCCTGGTTCCTGGGTCGATGCTCAGCCACGGAGCCAGGTCGGCCGGGCTCTTTATTCCTCGGACTCAGCCAGCACTTGCCAAGGAGGATGTTTCTGATCCCATCCTCTCCTCAGAGGCCCGGGGTGGTCGGCGGCGGCATGAACGGGTTCAGATTGCCGTGTGTGATGGTTAACGTGTCTGTAAACATGTGTGTGCATGTGTGACTTTTTTCCAAACATCATGAGATGAAATAGCTTGTCCAGTTGACATGGGTGGGTAGTGGGGTGACGTGTGATGTATTGTTCTTCTCTGTGCTTTCCTGTGGTTTCGCCGTGTTCTCCGCGGGACACGGGTAACTTTCTGTAGGAGAACCTTTTCCTCGTGAAGCCGGGCATGTCTGTGCTTTAAAGTCGGAGGTGCTGTGGGTGGGGAGGGAAAGGTCACCTGTCTCCTCCGTGACCGGGGCCGGTGCTGGCCATGCCCTCAGCCCAGACAGTGTCACCGTCCGGCGTCCGAAGTGGCTCTCAGTTGCTGGGTAACCTTTGACCCACATCGACATTGCCTTCTGCACCTCCTAGCGCCCGCAGCTCTTCCCCGCTTCCTTTTAAGTGCCCCACTTGCCCCGGTGCCCCCCTGCCAGGCCCAGTCTCACTGGTGCAGCCTGTGCTCTATGCCCAGCACCTTGAGACTGAATGTCCCCCTGGCACCACTGTTGTTTCCCGCCTCCCTTCTCTGGTTATCTCCCCCGTTTTCACCGTCTCGCCCTTCGCTGTGGAGACGGGCAGGTGAGAGGAGCAGGGTAACCACATGATGCTTCTGAGCTGCCCGAGGGCGAGTCCTGTCCGTTGGTGTGCGTCCCATCGGGGGGCGCCCTGTAAGCACCCCGTCGCCTCCTGTTTGTCTTGCAGCTCTTTGACCTGGTGTACAGAGAGGAGACCCTGCTCAACGTCATCAAGAGCGTCACCCGCAACGGGCGCTCCATCATCCTGACGGCAGTGCTGGCGCTGATCCTGGTCTACCTCTTCTCCATCGTGGGCTACCTCTTCTTCAAGGCCGACTTCCTGCTGGAGGTGGACCCGCTGCCCAACGACACCGCCCTCCCAGGTGCGCCGGGCTCTGCGGGTGGAGGGCGTTCCCCGATCGTCCCCGACCGAAGGGCACGGCGCCCTGAGCCACGCGGGTGTCTCCCTGACACCCAGGGCGGGAACCCGGAACACAGGCTTGGTTCTCATTGTATCCGAGGCGCAGTGTGGCCTCTCGGGGCGCAGGGGGTGTGCCCAGAGCCTGCCCTGAGCTCACGCACAACGAACCCGTCGGCCAGTGGCACAGCTTTTCCCTGAAAGACTGACGTGACCTATCGGAGACAGGCGTGCGCGTCCCTGACGTAGGAAGCCGCTCCCAGGACTCTCTCCTCTGCGGTGCACGTGGGGACAGGCGTGCACGGGGTCGGGGGGGGTGCTCACTGCGGACCGAAACCGGGAGCCTCTGAGCGCCGGGCGTGTTGCATGAGTGACAGTCCCCCCCGGGGAGGCGGCGGGCCCCGCAGGTGCCATGCACCCTTCACGGGATGGTGGGAGACTGCGATAGCTACAGTAGGTCAGACATGTTTGTTTGTTTTTAATCCTCACCCGAGGATATTTTTTTCCATGGATTTTTTTTGAGAGTGTGGAATGGAGGGAGGATGGGAGGAGAGAAACATTGATGTGCGAGAGACACATCGATTGGTTGTCTCCCGCACCCGTCCCAGCTGGGGCCGGGGACCAAACCTGCAACCAAGGTCCGTGCCTTGGCCGGGAATGGACAGTGCTCTAACCACTGAGCAAGCCAGCCAGGGCCAGGTGTGCTTTTTGTAAATTAAAAGTCCACATTTCTTGAAATATGGACGGCGATACTCCAGCTGCCAGCGGTGGCTCCTTCTAGGATGTTCTTGCTTTTACCACGGGCTTGTGTTATTTTCGTTCATGGCAAGAAGAGAGGAGAGGTCCAGTTCTGAGAATGAAAAAAAAAAGATGATGTACCTGAGTGGCACCAGGGGCTCTCTGCCCTGCATTCAAATCGTGGACACACTCAGGGAGATGCTGCCCATTGGCATCCGGTCGCCAGGCGCCCGCGACAGGGAACCAGCCT